AACATTTTTTTTTATTTTTTAGTAAAGCGAAAGTATAATTTAAACATCTCATCAAATACTGCGATGTGGAACTTAAAAGTAAATTTGATATAGTTTGGTGAACACAGTTGTCAGGTGTTTTTGCTGATAAATATAAAATAATTAATGAGAAACTTACAGTAATCATGCATGTAGATTGCATCATGGGAAATACATGCAGATATAATAATTATTTTTTATGATTGAGATGTCGATTATAATTAGGGTTTTGACAATCTTTAATTTTGAGTACAAGTCTTTTATGTTGCCCTGGGATTGTTGTTAAAGTAATGAAGATGGGGGTTAATATGCATTCAGTTCATGTGATCTTGTATATATTTTATAAATATCGGTTTTGCTCTATTATTGACACAATTCAAAATGATATTAATGTATTAAGGATCTTTTTGTCATTTTGGTAAAAAGTGATTTTTTCATTTTATTGTAAAAACCACAAGTTCGATTGCTTTGATATTGCATATATAGGTACTACATGTGGACCTCTCTCAGATTTGTTCATTTTGTGATGATATCTTTAATTCTCGAATTGTGGTGATAATTTTTGTATTTTTTGGTAAAAAGTTATACTTTCCTTATATTGTATACAATTTATTGATGTGAGTAGGTGATATATAACTTGTTGACTACAATAAGGGGCAATATCCTCACTTTTTGTGTATTTGTAACATTCTAATTTCCCTAACTGTAATTATATACATGAGTAACATTTAAACTAACTCACATTATAGAGAAAGGCATTTTCTCAATTTTTCACAGCAGTGGATATTTGTATCAGTAAGTTTTCATCCATATATTAATTGAGATATATAGTACATGTATATTCATCTAGTGCCAAGGGCTCTGCTCTCTTGGGATCTGTTTTGGTAATTAATTCTTTTACATGAAGTCGCTTAATTAATTTCGCATGTTCTGGGTGTTCTTGCATTTCTAACTAATGAGGGAGTCAAGAGAGATGTTAATTTAGGTGATACATTATTGTATATTCATTTCCATTTTCTGATGCTAGGTTATAAGTGGTAATG